GGAAATGTAATGACAATTAAAAACAAAACAAACAGGAAAGTAAATAAAATTGCCATTTTAGTGAGTTACAGGTTATAGTAAAATACTGTACATTACAGCAAAATGGAGCAAACTTTAAATTATGAATTTAAAGAGGAATGTGAGTGTAGGTGGATATATATATCTCAGAAGAAGAAAAGAACAAGTCCAATCAAGTGCTTTTGTCCTGTACCATTTCACTCCCTCCATACGCACCTGAAAGTCACCATGCCCTAAAGCCCACACCCTCCTCAGCTCCCTGCCTGACACATCTGCCACCTGGCAGGATCCCCTCTCTGTCCTATGAGCCACTGGCCAACTCAGCCGCTGGCAATCTGATGTCAAGCCTACCCAGGACACAGGTGACTTGCCCCTGGCTCCTCAGAGGAGGATTTTTCTGATTCTTCCTAACAAGAAAACTAAAGTAGGAGTGGGCAGGCAACTAAGTACTTATATTAACACGATTGGCTGAAGCTGCATGTCATCCTCCCTCAACTGTTAGAGGCATTTAAACCAAGCTTCCTGTGAAATCAAACCCATTAATAATTAAGTACAGGGTGTTCATGGTGGGCTCTGTCACCGAACTTGAGCAAACAGTCACCCAGCCAGCCCCTGACAGAGCACCACAGCCAAGCCTTTGAACAAGCACATTGAATTTCCCACAGGAAATTTTAAATTAAAAGTAGGCTCAGACCTTTGTCCTTCTTGCTCAACATCCTGATTTTCTAGGTTTCCCCAAAAAGCATTTGGCTGCTCCTTAAACTCTGAGTGATTGCAAATTTCAAGAAAAAAATTATTTTCATAGCATTGGTGAAAAACATGTAAGAGTAACCAACCAACCAACAACAGCCCCCCAAAAAAGGAGAAAAAAAATCTAGCCCTATTTGAAGGAGATTCCTGTACAGGATAACAAGTATGCCCAGATAAGGCCAAGTCTGCTTAAACAAGTTTTCCTACATTTTATTTATTGGATTAAAAGAATGAAAAAGGCAAATTCCACAAATGATTTCAAGTATTTCATGCCAAATGGGACTGAGAACATAGCAATCATTTTACTTAGGATTTTAAATAATAAACTGAATAAAGAAAGCCATGCAACTACACTTATCTACAGAAAAGTAAACAGTGAACTGGCAAGTTGAGGGAAATTGACCTAGTGTTAGGGGATTTGTATGCAGATCTGAAACATGTTACTTGGGGATTGGGGAGAAGGGGAAGTGACAGAAGACAGCAGGGTGGGTAGGAAAGGGGTGAGGGTGTTGGAAAGGTCTCTTTTGCAAACTAGCTCCTAGGCAGTGCTGGTCTAACCCCAGGAAAGCAGCCAGCTGTGGTGCAAGACATACCTCATTAGCAGTGAGCTTG